AACAAACATTTCTTGTCTTACAGAGTTTCTGAGAGTCAGAAACCTGAGAGTGGCTTAGTTGGGTGATTCTAGCTGAGGGTCTCTTATGAGGCTGCAGTCAAATTATCAGCAAGGACTGTAGGCATCTCAAAGCTTGACTGGTAGTGGATTTGTTTCTAAGACTGCTCCCAGGCTTTTGACGTATCCTCATTGATTGTCAGCCCCCAGTTTGGGTTTCTTCATAGGCTGCCAGTGTGGATACCACCCGGCAGCCGGCTTCCCCCAGAGCAGGTGGGGTGGGGGGAGGTCGGGGGGTGAGGAATAGGGAGGGAGAGAGTGCGTGGATAGCCAAGACAGGAGTCACAGTCTTTTTACAACCTAATTTCAGAAGTGACATCCTAACCTCTGCCACGTTACCAGGTCTGGACCCAAGAGGGACTCCCAAGGGTGTGAACCCCAGGAGGGGAGTCAGGGCCATCTCACAGTGGTGGCTGAGACCATGAAGAAGGGGCCAGAGAGCGTCTTCTGGCTTTGGGCCTCTCCGCCCAGAAGGCCAGACAGTCTGTGTAGACCCAGGTCCCGAGCCCTCCCCACAGAGAAAAGCAGGCACCCAGGGTCTTGTGTTTGCCTCTCTCCACCCGGGCCTTAGTCCTTCGGGAATGTGCTGTGAGTTGCAGGTGACGCTCCCTTCTCTCGTGTTCTGCATTAAGCCAGAATCACAGTGTCCCACCTGGAGGTCCCACATGCCCGCTGGAGGGAGGGAGAAACCTGCAGAGTCCCCAGGGCCAGCTTGCAGGGGGACGTTCTGGCCCAGGCCCTGGACAGCCAGCACCATCTATGCCTGCTGGGGGGCCACTTCGTGCCCTCTGGGCCCCACTGGGCAGCACAGGGACCCCTGGTGGTGACTCAGGGGCTGCATCTGGCCCCCCGCCGGGAAGGACCATTGGAGCCCCTCAGGCCCCGTGGGACAAATCCTCCCGCAGCCCCCGCCCGCGGCAGCCAGGCTCTGAGGAATGAGCGTGGCATCCCGCAATTTCCCAGGCGCGGCCTGATGGGACGGTTTGTAATAAAACTGCTTCTAAAAGCATATTTGCAAGTCACCACCACATTTTTTACGCGGAGCAATCTCTCATGGCGGCTCTTCATCTCCGTGATTAAGCAGCCGACTTTCTCCCATGCATTTTGTTGCATGTGTCTTAACCAGGCTGAGGAAACACTCTCTGCAGAGACCTCCCTTAAAAACAGCGGCCTGCGATGTGTGATTTACGGGTTATCTGATGAGTCCCCTCCCTGGAGCCGGTGACAGCTGCCCCGCCCAGTCAAGGGGAGGGGTGGGCCGGCTCCTCCCAGCCTGGGGGCCAGGAGCCTGGGGAGGGAGCCGGGCAGCCCAGGTGACCTTGGACCACCCCAAGCCCCTGGGATAGGGAGACTGGGTGGGGTCCGAGGTGTGTGAGCTTAAGAGCCACTGTTTCTGCTGCCTGCACTGACCCCCCTGCCCCAGCCGTGGGCCCCAGGCCACCAGCACTGCACTGGGGGACACTGGGCAGCAGCTGGGCAGGGGAGAGAGCCAGCATTTTCCTTCCGGGGGCAGCATGGCCCCTTGTGTGCAGTGCCACGCGGTCTCAGATGGTGGCGATGACCTTGGAGCAGATGCAGGGCAGGGGCGGCCCTTCCCCGTCCATCGAGGAGTCGGGCCCAAGCAGAGGCTGGCACAGCTGTGGGGGCACCAAGCAGGTGTCAGGGCTCTCCAGCCGTTTAGAGAGCTGTCCTGGGCACCTTGGTGGCCCCAGGAGTGACATCCCTGGTGGGTGATGAGGGTCCCGACCCTGCCACCCCAACCAGGGCTCCAGCCCAGGTCGCCAGGGACGCCACTGCCTCTCACTGGGTCACTGAGTTTTCCCTTTAGTGCAAGCGGCTGTAATGACGTGTGTCTTCGCACCCTGTCCTGTCCATAGGGGCTGCTCACAGACCCCTCCCTCGCTCCTCTTGTAGGACAAGCCTGCTCAGTAAGAATGAGCCCCGAAGCCCCTGCCAGCCGGCCAGCTGTTAGGGCTGGCCCCAGAGATCCCTATCTCAGGGCCTTGTTCCCACGAAGGGGACCCAAACGCTCCGTCTGAGGTCGACCAGGTTGCCCACCTGCCTCAGGCAAACGTTCCGGGGGCAGAGGGGTGGGCGCCCGGGGAGGCACCGGCCAGGCAGACCTTCACGCAGGTGAAGTGGTGCCTTTTCCAGGTTCATTGTCTGCACAGAGGCTGCCCCAGGGAGGCAGAGCAGGCCATGCTTCTGCCTCGTCCAGGCCACCCCACTGGCCGTCCAGCCCTGCCTGAGTGCCCTAGGCCTGAGTGCAGCAAGGCCAGCCCTCCCGGGCAGGGCCCAGCACCCCTTCCCTTCAGGTTGTCGGCTAGAAAGTGTCCCTGAGAGCCCAAGGGCGAGACGCCTCCGCTGGGCCCCTGCAGCCCCAGCCCGAG